GTAACTAATTACCAAATAAATCCTAGCATAAAATCTGGAGGATACTAAAAAAAAACACATAAACTTTCAGAAGATTTATACTCATAATCTCACTGCCATAAAACAGAGTAAAATTAAAATAATAAACAGATATTATTATTACATAAAGATAGCAAAAATACAACAAATTTAACTAAACATAATATAACAAAGATTTTTTCAAAATTGAAAGGATATCCCCAAGCTGGGAAACCAGACGATCCATAACCTTTGTGGGAAGGGATGGTGAGTTTTGCTATTTCTCCTTGACTCATTGTCATGCACCCTTCATCCCAACCTGGGAAAACAAGGAATAAATTAACAATTCTACATATCAGTTAAATGACAGGCTAAAGACAGTGCCATACATGCAAAACACTGGTCTTTAGAAATGTTAATACATGAGCAAAATCCAATTATTTTTTTTTTTTTTACATTATATCGCATAGTAACCTTCAATCTCAGCAATAATTTGCAAGATAGGAGACACTTGGTCTATTACTTAACAACATATAGTTGATCAAAAGGTAAATTAACTTTATCAGTGAACCATAAAAGTTTATGCGCATTCGTTTTCTGCTACATTGTTCCTATATACTATATTTATATCTTATATCTTTGTAGTTATATAATTACATGTATACTTATATAAATACATGTATATTTGTATGTTTGTGAGTGTAGTGTCTGACCCTACCAGTAATTCAGAGAGATCTGCAAATGGTGGAAATAAACAAATATTGTTCTTGTTATTGTTATATTTTGAGTAATTGCCCATCACAAGAGCCTAAATGTGTCACTTAACTACATTATATACCTACGAGTAGGTCTTACCCTTCTCACACACATTCTCTTCTTCATTTACCAAGGTAGTTAAAATTAGCTTCAGCACAGTGTTACTAACTACCAGTACATACTATAACTTTGATTGTTTGGAAACAGTGAGAACAAAAAAAGAAAAAAAGTAAACAATCCTCTTTCAAATCTTATGTAAGCCAGATGAAAAAGTTGCTTAAAAGCTAATCCAGGTCTATGGGAAACACACGTCCATATATAGTATGTTCATAATGACCTAACAAACTCCTAGGGTTTACCAAGGAAATGATGTTTTTAATAACTTAGTCAATTGATTGAAGTTTCCCACCTGCAATCACTTTCCCTAATCCAACTTGGAATGTAAATGGTTTCTGTCCTGGATCCTTAGTACTATAAAATGTGATGTTAATTTAAGTAAAACATGCAAGTGTATGATTCCCTCGTAAAATGCTTTCTTACCAGAAATTAGCTTTTTTTTTTATTCCCTTACAAAATGCTTTCTTACCAGAAATTAGCTTTTTTTTTTTTCACCCTACCCCATTAAAATGTAATTTATACCAAATGGTCCTTTTTCTTCCTTGTGTGCAGTAATCATAGCTTTGAGAAAGGGGCAGGGATAGGGTTAATACATTGTTCCAATTTAATACTGTAATAAATTGAAGTCCTAGAGAATGCAAAGAGAAATTTGCACCAACACCCATTTTCAGGATGCTTAAATGGCGCTTTTCGCTCATTGCATGCTTTGATCATTGTTCTGATGGTGGGGGGGTTAATTATTCCTTTCGTACTGTCAAAGGATATCAGGAGTCCAGTTCTTGTTATTTTGTTCCGCAGTACCCAAGTGATTAGAGAGATGCCTAACAAAGGAATTTGAATTTGCCAACCGTGTATTCTAAAGTTGACTTGATCGTTTGCACTCGCTTAGTGCTAATTAATGCGGGATGAAGAGGAGCGCTTTCACTCCGTCACAAAGATCTTGTTTCATGCAGACGTTCTGTCGGTCAAATAAGAAAAATTACCTCCAAAACTTTTTGGGTGGGTTTGTGTTTAACGATCCAGTACAATGGACTGTAATGGTAGCTCCTTTTCGCGGAGTAGGACCGCTCCCTGGTCTAAGAACTTCTTTCTTAATACCATCGGCCATCTTGTCGATAATTGCATGGAATATCCCAGCATTCCTTGCTAGCTCGCAAGCTCGTTTCTGGGGCCAGTCCGTTTTGGGAGCAATTTCTTGAGGGCTGGGCGCCTTGAGCCTTTGAGCGATTGTGCTGCGAAAAAGAGCACACGAGAAAAGCTTCCAGAGACTTTGGGCCGAAAATAGAGGGAGAAAACAAGTATGATCACGGCTCCGCCGTATTTCTTTTCATGGAGCTGCCAAAAAAGATATCAGCAATGCGATTGCTATCGATTGCTTTCATCTAGTCACGTTAAGTGTGATTGACTGACAATGACAATGATAGACCTAACAGTATGCATGTCTGTTGAGTTTCAGATCACAGACGAACACAAACTGGTGCAAGAGCCGCGGGTGAGTATGACACTTCTGTGATTTATATCTAAATAGACACACGGCAAATACTGAATCCGATTAATTACGAGGCCGCGATTATTTGAGAGCGTGTAAGTGTCTAGTTACGTTTCAGTTCATATATCTCTCGGAAAGACAATCAATTACTGCAAAATTTTTATCCTTTAAAAGAGAAGCAGAATCGTGTTTAATAGGATCTGGTCACTCCCGATGTAGATCGCGACGTTTCGACTGCTAATCTTTTTCAGGTGATGAGGCCGATAGTGAGTATATACGCGTCACGAATAAACTGTTGTGCTTTGAGCAGTGATTGGATGGAATTCCGCGGCGATAATTGGTGCATCTTCGCAAGGTTCTCGCTACGGTCTGCTGCTGCACGGTTCCCCTGCTTTTGTGCTTTGCTTCGGCATTCGGGCTTCTTGGATTCATATTCCACTGTTCCTGTTGATGTTGTTAGGGCGAAGTCTTATGTGGATTGTCTCTTTCACCCTGCGCGCGTAAAAACGGGGATCGCGATGATAAATGAACTTTACCTCGTTCTAGAGCGGGCGGAGTCCTGTTTTGTGGGTGTGCTCTGAAAAGGTGGAGGCCTCGGTCGGAGCGAGTCGGATATCTCTCATGCTCCTTCATTCTCTGCTGAACACAGTAGGTCTGCCAAACCGCACTCACAGGGAATCCTGTAGACCGCCTTTCCTCCGGACATATTAGGTGTGATCGTAGCTTAATCTCTGACTTGAAAACAGCGCGTATGCTTTGTTGTTGTATAAAGCGGCAACGTCATTCGTAAAGACCTTTAATTTTGGGTGGGACTGCAGTAGACTTGAACTTGGTGGGGAATTCAACACTGGCGTTTTCTGGTGTCTTGGTTTTCGTTACCCTCTGGTCGAAAGAGCCGGGAAGGATAACCATTAGAAACAAGAACAGATTTTTTTTTCTGAGCTTGGAGATAACGGAGGAGGGAGGGGGGTTGGTTCGAAATGTTTTTCATTATCGTAAAGACATTTGAAAATACTGCGTTTTACCGATTGTGAATGGGGAAAATCTTGCGTTAAGTATTGATCAGTGTGTGTTGGCTTCCTGTTTTCGCCGGTGGTTGGGGTTCATCAGGTTCTCTTAAAACCGAATTTGTCGCTTTCTGTCTCCATGGTGAAGTGATTGGATGGCTGCTGTTTTTTCAAATGCTGTTAAGAGCTTTCACCCTAGCGGGTCAAAATGGTGAAGGTGTCGTTTAAGTAGCGTTTCCAGATCCTGCGGGTTTGCTGAGTGATGTCATCTTTGAAAGTCTTATTTACCACTATGACAAACCATAACCTATTTTACGATATAAGTTATGTCTTTTTGGGTAATCTTTTTCTTCAATAATAATTTCAATAATAATGTCTGATGAGCGCTTCGGCGCGAAACTCAGAGTAACGGGGAATCGATGCGTCCTCTTTGATTCTTTAACTAATGTATATATATATATTACAATTTTTTTTCAAGCTTACATTAACTGAGATGCAAATCATCTATAACAGATGACAGTTATGTCACTTAGGAGCAGTATCCACTTCATTGCGGTAATGTACTCTTACATCTTCTTCCCTCCGTGGCCCTCTTGTGGTCTGCCCCGCCCAAACTTGATTGTTTTTGTCTTGAAATGTCAATGGGTTATCACGAGAGAGACCTCCGATTGCAAGAGATGGGGTATCGCCTGCAGCTGTATAAAACCTGATACTGCAATATTTTATCCTTGATGGCTTGACTGAATATTTATATGAGCCGATAAAACCAGCAAAAAGTTCGTTCACTGGAGGAACACCACTTGCAGAGTTGTCTTCGAAGGCATGAGATAGATCTTGATTGTAGGAGAAAAACACTTCTTGCTGGCTTCTTTCGGCCAAGGCAGTTTGTCTTTGCCTCGTATCTGGGAATAAGGCTCTTGAATAGTGGAACACTGACATGATAGCATCTAACTCAAATCCTGCGTCATTGGAAGTTCGTATTCGTTCTTGTTCCATTTAGCTATAGTCAACCGAGATTCAATCTTGTACTCGGTTATCTCAAAATTTCAAAAATCTTTATACACAACCATCTTGAAGTTTTTTTTTTTTGCGCGCAGAAGCTGAATCCGTTACTCATCGAAGAGTTACATGACGCAATAAAAATGTATCTGACGCGATAGGATACTGTATTCGCGAGCGCGTTTCCCTTCACCGATCTGTGATGAAATGGCATCAGACTTACTACGAATTATCGTAACGAAAAATAAATTGGGTTACTTGTAGAATTAGTAAGATTGTCCCTTTTCGAATGGATTTACCTCAAAATGATCTCATAAACTAGACATTTTTGATTACTGGCGATCCCTTGTATAGATTGATGCACGTGCCCGTGTAGACGCTATTTACTCTAGGCTATTTCTCTGTAACTGAAAATTTTGGTATGATTTATCTCAAAAAAATGTCAATATGATTTATTTTATATCTTCTGTTGGTGATTGTGAGAATAGCATGAGTGAATACCACGACAATTGAATGGATCAGTGCGTACGGAGCAACGCAGGAATGGAAAAACAGAAATAGCAAGAAAACAGATTCTTAGTTAAAGGCAATAGCCAAAAAGAGGTAAGATTTTAAAAAACCGTTCCGATACCATTTGTTGGTTCAAATTTATACTACGGAAAAAAGCAACGACAGTGCTAAACATACGTTGTTCATTTCAAGACCCATAAGTCGGTGTCACTGTTAGACGTACTAGTAAGCACGCGGCGCATGCCTATCTTTCGCCAATAGGGTCCAGTTCCCAACAGTAACAAGTTGCTAGGTTTCCTTCTCAAATATTGGTATAGATCTTCGTTGGGTCAGTTCGGAATAAAGATGACCTCTTCATTAGTGCCTATAGAGGAAAGATTTTCTATTCTCCTCTCGAGACTTGATAGGATCGAAGCTTCTCTTGCAGGCCTTGAAGATGTTAAGAAACTACTAGTCGAGATAGAGGACAACACTCATCCAGAAGTAGATAATAAGTGCGATTTTCGTCAAAACAAGCTTGAGAAGGTAGGCTTCGAAACGAGTGGTTTGTAAATTAATGATGTTACACAAGATACTCTTGATCATTTAATGGAAATGCAAATACGAATAGATTTCCAAGATGGATGATAGGAAACATAAGTATATTATGTTTTCTCACACTGATCACTACTGATCAGCAAATAAGCTAACCATTCTGTTACATTTACTATTCCATTTGATTCCTCTCAGAATCGCATAATTGAATAAAATCTCGCATTCTGATCGGTTAACGAAGCGAGGTATTTATCGTGGAATTGCGAGTTGAAAACGAAGCTAAGTGATATTGCTTTGCAGCTCTTGTTTTGCACTCAGGATAAAAACGAATAATATTGTTGTTGTTTCCTTTTTTTCTTATTTTTATTCAATTGTGCAGTTCAAGGAAAATCCATCACATAACTCGCGAGTTCAGCGTTAAATTGCACTTGAGAACCAGTATTGCACTCTTGCTTTGCAATTCGTGCAATGTCTGTTTTCACGGGCAATATTTAAGGTGGATTCCTTAATGTCAGGTGATGAATTTTCCGATAAAATGTGCTCTTCAGGTTGGCATTTACAGTGTGCTGTGTCAGGACAGCTCTCTTCTTTGTACTTTCTGTGGTAGTGTTGTTTGCCATCTGCATTGATTTTTGATTTTGCCCATGGATCTGCTTTATTGTCAGATCAGCCCTCAAGTAGACTGTGCAGTGCAACAGTTTATTGGACTGTCCACCTGAGTTGCTTGATTTATAATTGCAGATCCAGAAAATTAAGACTTTTTAATTGAGGAGGCTGGGAAATTGCAGAAAGAATGCACACCAGTTTAATATGAAAGAACTTTCAAACATATACTCCAAAAATGCTTTCCCTTGCCCTTATTTCCCCTTTTAAACCAGCCCATGATTTATGAAGAGCAACTTAAATATTTAGTTTCTCTTAGCTAATCCTTGTGGCTTTTATTCAATAAAATCAATCACAAAATTGAAAGAATTCTTCAGTTTAAATATTAGTCATTTGAATTTTTTTTTATACAATTAATTAATTATAGGCTGTAGCTGTTTTTTTCCTCTTAGGTTACTGTGGTAATTAGAACCAGCATTATATCTGTTGGTGACATTGACACAGTTGGTCAGCGGTTCAAATGTGATTTTTATATGTCAGCAACCTGGTCAGAGCCACAACTGCAGGGAAGAAGTCCAGAGGTGAGCTAATTAAATTTAAAATGTATAATATGAATGGCAGTTAAACCTATTGAGTTTACAAAGTGAATTTTACTAAGATGTCATCCAATTCTTTGAAAACTCTACTAGAACTCAATGGAAGGTTTTCAAATTATATGCCTTGCCTTAGTGCCATGTTACCCTTTCATGAACCTCGATTATCTGGATTATTTGTTTATCTGGCCTTTTTTATTAATATTGATAAGTCACATTTGAGAACCCCGACAACTTTTTCCCATCAAAACAAAGCACTTATTATGAGGCGATGTTGATGCTGTTCTTTTAATGGAGTTTCAGAGAATGATAGAATTGGTGACACACACATGCTGTAGCAGCTTGAGAAAAACTGATTTACATTTATCTTTTTAGGTCATGATGTGTTGGTTAGATGTAATAACTTTTTGAAAATATTTTTGGAAAATGTTAACAGTAATGTGCAATGATTTATATAATATATATTCAGTTTTAATTTTGGCTCATCAATATATTGATTTCATATTTTTGATTATTCGGACTCTCAATTATCTACACTTTTCAGCCCAGTCCCCACAAGTTTGGATAATCAAGGTTCAACTGTATTAGTTCTTCTTACTTTCTACCATATATTTCCTATATTTTAAGCTTTCAGAATTTGGTGTTGGGCAAACGGCATCCCTTAATTGAGAGTTTTCTTCTCATAGTTACCTTTCTGCTTAAGATGTTTCAATATTATATAATTATTGTTCTGTATTTAAATGGATCACTGGATATTCCTCAGAGTGAAAGGGTTATAAAACAAGGCACCAGTTGAAGTGTTAAGAACGATAAGGGTGTTCATGCATCTGAGTATGTATAGGGTGTATCAATATTAATGATAAAGATTACTTATAATGCACGATCCTCGCAGTAGAGAGCGCTATTTATGCAATAGCGAAAATCAGATCTGAAAAAAATCAGACCTGTACGGGATTCGAACCACTGACCTCTGCGATACTAGTGCAGTGCTCTACCAATTGAGCTAACAAGCCAACTGGGAGCAGGCCGTTAAGTTGATTCGTAATAAACCTGTGATGATAAAGATTACTGGATATCTTACCACACAATGATGGTCAAAGTTACTGGAATACCAGTAGTTTATCTTGGATATTACATGGGTATCGTGTTGTTTGTTTTCTTTTCAGGATATAAGATGGAGTGATGAATGGCATCCTAGAATTGTGTTTTTTAATGCCTAAGTATCGCAGAGGTCAGTGGTTCGAATCCCGTACAGGCCTGAAATTTTTTTCAGGTCTGATTTTCACTATTGCTCAAATAGTGCTTTACTGCGAAGGATCGTTCACATATACATAAAAATTATTGTTTGACAGAATAAATTTGTTTTTTCGGGCCGTCTTAGCTCACCTTCTTCGCCCTCAGTTTTCCTCAGTATTCTTAGCTCTCGAAGCTCATTGCATCCCTTATCTCCGTCATCGAATATAATGTCAAAGAAACTGCGTCGAATGGCAGTTACAGTACCGGGATAGCAAGTGTCTAACCGATTATACCATCTGGCTAACACCCTTGTACCAATGTCCACTTCCCTTACGTGTGGTATGGCGTCAGGTACCACGCATTCAGGATGCTCTTTCTTGTGTCTTATTTTCTTTCCATTTTCGAGTTGTACGTGTATGTCGTCGTCCATTGCAGTCACAATACCGCGAAGGAAAGATCCTTTCTCAGCCCTCGCCCAGACTCGCGAACCTTCCTTAACACAGGCTGAAATCATAGAAGAACCCAGAGCTCAGTCTGAATTATCAGAAAAATATTACAATTCAATCAAAAATCCTAAAAGATGTCTTCCATTTCCTCCCTTCCCAATCGATGTTGAGTGCCAGCTGGCAAGCAATCCATGGATGTTTACGAACATTGCTTTCTCAGAAGACAGAAAATTAATTTGCAAGATAATGCTTGTGAGCATAAATTTAGATTGTTATTTAAGATTGTGCGCAGAAAAATTGTCATTCATTTAAAATATGGCCAGGAAAGAAAATCTTGTAAAAATTGAAATGATAGTAATAATAGAAACCGAAGAGACTCCTCTAACTCATTCTTTTCATCCCCAGTCTCCACGAGTGGCATTTTCCCCTTTTGGTCTGCATGGCAGCCGCGTCGGTAACCGTAAACCGTTTCTAATCATGTTCCTAGGTTTTTCCTTAGATGATTTGTTTCCATTCGTAGAAAGGGGAGCTCGCAAGACAATTTTTAGACATTTGGATGCAAGGTAAGAAAAGAAACATTCAACTTGTCTCTCCTATTTCAATCATTATACGACACGATCGGCTGCAGATTTTAAGCTCAATAAGAGCTTAATTACACGTTGTATTGATACGTGTTACACCACGAGACAACTTTTGTGGGCTAAGGTGGTGATGGACAAGGATTTCTCTTATCCATCAAAATACTTTGCTTAAGATCTTGATATTTTTGGAAGTACTTTAAAGAATATTAGAATATCTGGCAGTGCTTGTGAGCCAGCGCTCGTTGACTTGTTCTTTTGAAGTAAACAATTTTCATGGCCGCGCTCATTAATAAGGCGTGATGTTATTTCAGTATCAAAACAAATATGCTGGTTTTGATGTAAATTTGTTGAGGTTTATCACTTCTTTGTGAGTAAGCGAATTTTATGTAGATATACTAAATAGGGTTGCTCCGTTTATTTTTTGGCAACTTGTAGCAGTTAAATTCTCTCGACGAAACTGGAAAAGTTTTAAAAGTATTGGCTTAATATGACTATGAGCCGAGTAAAGATTTTTGGTAATATTTCCGCCCTGCCCCTTCATTCAGTTCTTGGATCATAAAGAGAACAATGGCATAGACAATAAATTGCCTTTGGGAGTACAGCCTAGTTGTACAATTGTATGGAGCTGTCTGGAAATCTTACTTGGATGTCATAGTCACTTCCTTCTATGCATAGTTAATCATTCTCAACGATTTATGGTGCAAAGTATCACTGAGTTTTTTTCTCGGTATCGGAAGTTCGATACGAAGTCGATTCCCCTTAAGAATTTCACTTACCCATACATCTCTTTCTCGTTAACTTGAAGCTTGAGTCCTCTTTAAAGAAGTGAGAGTTCTCGTACTTCTGCAGACGCAGTTCCTCTCCACGTCTACGAATAAAATGTGCCGGATTCAAAAGCGATTCGAATGCAAAATATCCCTCAAACCACATGTCTTGTAGGGGAACAAATGTACTCTCTTTTCCTGAAACGAAATTGGAGGAAAATATTTGAGTATACCTCTCTAAATAAATAGTGACACGTTTGAAAATTCCGCAGAAATTCTATCAATAAATAAATAAATATGACAGATAAAGAACCCTTACTGGTGAAAATTAACAAGTTTTTTTTTCAATTGCCTTTAAGAGCTAAACTTATCTTGTGTTATGCGTCCTTTCTTATCGTAGATGAATGAAATAAAATCACCAATTGAACGTCCTTTGAAAAAGGCAACTTGACGCTAGTTTTAATAATGGACAACTTTTGAACGCTCGCCGGCTGGTTTACTGGGTTTTTGGCCTATCTTTCCACGGCAAACGAAATTTATTGATTCTAAAGTTTGGGGGAGGGGAGCTGGGGAGGGGGGTTAAGAGAAAATTTTATTGCTAAGCACAAATAAAAGAGTGTGTTCAGAAGGATAAATGTAATTGGGCTGGGACCACTTTAACGCAGGGACGCCTTAGCCAGACAAAATAGCTGTAGGAGTTCGGTAGAAAAGAGATAAATATCACTTCTAAAACTTGTCAATAATGGCCACCATGATTGGTAGTTATAATTTTATCGGATTGGCACTGAGTCTTGCGAACAGTTCCGCCGGTTACCAAAAGGGCCCGGTTTGATACTAAAAATTCTTTTTACGTGTAACGTTTCATCCTGTCCTTCTGTAACATTTTGAAAATGTTTAATGGCCTCAAGTGAGGCTTTAAGCTAGAGTAAAATTCAAAATAGAAAAATTAAATCAGATAGAACCTCTCGCCGATCCACGGAATCATAAAGGGACAGAAAATAATTAGCAATACAGCTATGTATGGTGGGATGGATAGAAAGGTGTAACATAGTGACAGACAATGATCACGTGACATAATAGGTACTGTATGAGTATATGGGGTGCTCCTGGAAATTAGATAAGATAAGAAATGCTCGTGGAGGAATAATTACGAAGCGAATGCATTAAATACCTAATTAGAATATAAAACGTGGTACGCAATATGTCTGTTTGAACTCTGGAAATGCAAGCAGCAACGAAGAAGACCCTTTCCATTTCTTTAGTGGTCGACTTCTAAATAAATGACAGGGATTTTTGGCATCAAACTTAATTTTTTTCAAACTAGGGAAGATAAAATTGCAATCGTCAGCCCAATGGCCTACGTCGTTTTGACATTCACATGAACATTGCCGAAAAGAGCTCTCAAGCTATCATCACAGAATCGATTCTGGCTTTGCTGGCCAAGAAGAGTTGACGAAATGCGAAAAACTACACTCTCCGAGTTATTCCACTTGCTTTTTCACAATTGCTGACGAGTTTTCGTAATTACTGCTCAGCTTGACTGTCAACAATTCAAAATATAAATGAAAAAAAAACAACAACAAAGTAACAGTAGGAAATTTTCAATTTACGTCTGAGGAATACAATGTGTTGGTAAAAAATTAACGTAAAAAACCTACGGTGAAATAAGAGGTATTTTGGTTGCATTTCGCACGTTTTGGGGCGTTGGGTCGCAGCTGCATCCAACGAGCTCAGCAAGTACTTTTCAGAGCCTATTACTTCAGCTAAGTTTGAGTTCATGTTGCATCTTTTTATTGAAGATTTTTACTATAAATAACATAAATCAAACACGTCTTAATCACTTACTGTAGTTTTCAGAGTCATCAAAGGGCTCCAAAATGAGATAGTTATTTCTTGCTCGTAGGTAATGTCTTCTTTTTAGCACACTTTCAAAGGAAATTCCATCGACTCCTTCTACCAAGCCTTTTACAATATTGTAGCGATCCTTGCCTTTCTGTAGCGACTTCTTCCTTTCCCTTTCTCTCGCAATTTGCTTTCGGGTCGGTGAACAGGGAAGCAGCGTACACGAGAACATTACCTGGAAGTTGTAATGAGAAGTATAAACGTCGATTCACTGATAAACCTACGCAAACATTTAATCGACCTTGTTTGTTCGTTAAACTTGTCGCCTTGTCTGAGGTACTCCAATGTTAAAATTTAATTGCCTCAGTACTGTAATAATCCTCCCTTAAGTGACGATAAATTTTCATAGGAAAACAGCAACGTAGCCCATATCTTACAGTTTTCATGCGATCCATTTTTCTCAGGTGAAAACAGCGTACATTGAAGGTAATATTCGAAAGTCTTTCCTCCTCGTGCGCAAAAACGGGCTCTGACAACTAAAATTATTGGACCCAAATGCCCGCGGTGAAACCACATACTATCCAAATATTGAAATACCTGTTAGCGGTGGCCTGTTAGCAGGTACTTGGAACATGTTTTTATTTTCAATTTTTCTTGGCAATCATTTTACTTCTAAACGCCAGTTTTTTGCCTTAGGAAATATCTTATGACGAAAAAATATTATGTTTTACAATGTTGGACTTATATGGAATTATGGCAAGAACTAGAGAGTATCATTATTATTTCAAAGAAATAGTTTCCTTCAAAGTGGCAAACGTCTTGATCTGATGAGCCGAACTGTGAGTTAAACAGCGTTCTCTTGTCAACGATAATAGATACGTTTAGACTATTAAGGTCAGAAGAAAGCCTTCGGAAACTCTCCCAAAGCTTAAGCAATTTATTTACTGAGAGAGTATTCTGTGAAAAAAAAAAAAACCCAAAATATCTTTCTTCAATTCCCAAGAGGATTTTTGAATACAAAATGTCAAAAAAATTTATGAATATAAAAAGCAATAAAAAGAGAAAGGAAAAGATTAGATAGCCGTAGCAGTGTATGGAAAACCATGAAATAATATAACAAAAGAAGCGTCGAAAAAGTAAAGCGTTTAAAAAATAGATACATATTGAGTTATAGAATACCTTAATCTGTAATGATAAACATTTTTGTTATTCCACGGAAACCTGTGTTACTTACAGACTTTTTCCTTCCATTGGTGCCCTGATACCCGCTTATTTTTTCTCTTTGTCTACGAGCATTATAGATTTGCTTAAGCACAAATAACTTGACGACAACCCGTCAATTTACTTAGTGCTTTCTGCTCTGTAGCTAATGATTCATAACGACTTTGGCTAAAAATTTTGGGATAGCAAAATTGTATACATCAAAATAGACTGTAACTATGTAGCAAAACTGACAAGTGGCATGCTGTGAAAAAGTATACTTTCAGTTTGATTCCCAGCTAGTTGAAATAAATTAGTATCCCATTTTAGAATAGGGTATCAGCAGTGATCCTGGCCACATATCGAATCTGCAGGTAACCGCTCCAGGGGGCAAATCTAAATTGTAATATATTCATTAGGCTTTGGAGTTCTCAGTTGGTTTATACCAGCTCATGCGCATACTTGCAAAATCTTCGCCAGAAGAAAACATATCATGTGGTAGAAGATCACTTCTTCATACGATTATAATAGATCCAGGAATAGTGCGTACTTTACTCTTAAAAATACTTCAAAGATTTTGTACAAATACCAATTATAAAATTATGCTAAAATGGGCCTTAAATTAGGCACTCTAATTTTGTTAATGGGTTACTATTTCATCACGAAACACCCCAGAGGAGACTGTTAAATAACATCTACGAGGGTGTTCTTTGAGGGCTCAAAACACGCGTATTAGCCTCACTTGGGGTGTTCGAAACTACCCCATCGTTCTGGCTTTCAAGAGATTCAATTTTAGATTAAAACAAGCGCACAAAATATACGTCAATGAGGGATATCACAGCAGCGACGTGAAAAGACATGATAACCGTCTATTTGTCCCTCCCCTACGATTGCAGCGTTTAGGTCTTTCTTGGCAGTTAGATTAAAAATTCCCTGTCAACTTTGCTTCCCCGTCCTTCTCGGTCAATTTCAATTTTGTTTCGTCTGTCCTTCTACTTGTCCCTTCCTTACGACTGCAGCGTTTAGGTCTCCTTAGGGAGTTAGATGAAACATTCCTGTCAATTTTGTTTCCCAGTCCTTCTCGGCCTATACCTTTGCCCAGTAGTCTATAAGTGTAGCATGAAAAGCTACCTGCCGACAGTTTCTCAAATAAAATTTTGCTGAAGTCATATCCTATGGATGAAAAGAGGGGATAACTCTGATATGATGGTCAATTTGGCCGAGTTCATCTGCCCCGGCTTTATTCTGGAGTTTTGCTCCAGCTCAGCTGTGTGTGGAGGACGATCCAGGGAGGTTTAAGTACAGGGAATTTTCTCAGCTTTGTTACCAAAAAACACATAGCTGTTGGGCTATCACCATCACATCACTAAAAGTATTCAAAATTCGCGGAGATTACTTTAACTTTCTCGTTTTTTCTTCTTCTTCAGTCAATTGACGCGCAAGTAGAGCTATAATAACACAATATTATTTGGTTTACAACAGTCTGTCTGGATGGTGGGATTTTGAAGTATTTATGATCTGTCGAGTTTTATGATCTGCTCCCCTGACATGCAAATTAGTGAAGGTTACTTTGCCTTTTTCAGGTTTTGAACCCAGTGCGATAAGGTGCTCCCACTGCGCACTGCATGATATCATTTCGAGGGAGGTTCGGGTTGGATCGTAGTCACGTAACCTGGAAGATGTGACTGTTTCACTGAGATTTCGATTGTAAAAGAAGTCGATTAATCATTGCAAAAATTGATCGTATTTTAGCTGTCAATCTTTCATAAACATAGAGGTTATTTCACACCACCTTTAATCCAAAACGAAGGTGGTTGTCAAGACAACGCTACTTATAGGCGACGATGCAGATGACACGGGATGAATATCTAAGTACCTATTTGGCCTTTCATTTCGGTTTTTAAGACTTTAGAAGATAGAGACAGAATCGGAAAAAACTGGATGATGTCAACCTTCCCATAGATTTGTCGTACAACTCGCGATCGTTTCGACTGAGAAGGAAAAAAAATCGCAATTTGTCATATCTGACTCAAAGGGTTTTCATCTATCCATAACAAAAAGATCAAAATCGATAAAATTTGATATTGTGCCTTAACTTGAAACTGGTTTAGAGTGCTATTCAAAGAAATATCGATCGTTAATTGCACTGTTAAACGAATTCATTGTCATGTTGCACCAAGTTGCGAACGAAATACTTTTCCACTGGAAACTACCTCGCTAAACCTTAATCGCCCTGGAGCGTCTTTCAAACATTAAGTTTGTACTTTTTTTTTACATTTGAATACACATCCCATGGATGACGGAGAGCATATGTTTGTTGCTTCGTGAATCTATTTTCATGTAGTGTGTTTTAATGAAAACCCTTTGTCCTGAGTGAAGGCTACTTTCGAGAACCTGCTCGAATTAACATCGAGTCGGAACCCTCTTGAACTTTCTTTTCTAGTAAATAAAAACATTTGTTTGGAAACCTTTTTGACATACCGCAAATAATTCTTTAATTTATTTCTCAAGTATAATCAACGCACCGCTTTAAATTTGGTCGCTAAATGTTTGGTGAATATGTTTTGAAGGATTGGAGATGTGTTGCTCTCCAAAGTCTTTAAACGTTACATGTAAAGCTAAATCAAATCGACTTTGTGTCAGGCGAGCGGTCCAGTAAAAAATGTAGCGGAAAAAAAATTTCCGGTGTTTCTTGCGACTTGTTTATTTTGAAGCTTAGCGAACATCACTAAATAAAGAAATAAGGATTTTGTTCCCAAAAGAATCTTGATTTTGTTTCCCAATGAAATAAGATAAATAAGAGGGCAAATGTAATAATAACAACAACAGTATTGGACGATAACTAGGTTTTAACAGGAAAGTGAAGTCAGGTGCAGATATACGAAAGCTCTGAAGAATTTGAACTGAATAAATACTTAGCGCACTTATCTCGATAAACTGCGTTTTAGTAGCTGTTACTTCCTGTTACTGAAACGATACGTACCTTCTCCAGGGCTTCGTCTTTGTGTTTGTGTTCACCATAATAATTCATGACTGACGCCGGGTCCAGTCACAATCAGAAGACGCTTTCGGTTTGACTTCCTTTCGAGTATCATCTCCTTAAAGGTCTTCAAATCGGGCTTAGACGATTGATATCTGTCATATTTGTCTCAGTGTTTGCAAAGTGCTATATGGCGAAAACGGCGGAAGATCAAGAACGATCACGAAGGTCCTATGCTAAGTATTACGCGAGCGGGTCTAATTAATTTGGTAATAACAGCAATAAATATGAAATTATTCATTATCACATAAAGTAAGAGCTTTGCATATATCAAACATTCGATCCCAGACCATTGAATCACCTGCCACTCTTTGTTGTTTTATCCCCGAAGGAAACAGTTACAAAAAATGCTTTTTAACAAAAGGGTACAAATATTCGATTATTTTAATCAATTTTGCTTTAATTTTTCCGCTTGTCTCTCGTTCTCAATGCGTACCAGACTCCCTACATTCTTTAATGAAAAAGGGTTTCACAGCTTGTTTTATCTTAGGGATATCATAAATGTCGTACTTTGATATATCAGTTGTCTGTTGGAGCGAATGTCCTACAGAAATTGTTAGTTGACTCTAAATAGGTAAAATCTTTCTGACAAAAACTGTTTTTAGAAAAACACCTTTGTTTTAGTCGTGGTCATCGGTTTTCTCCAATGTTTCCGAGACATAACATAGCTATCATCGAGTAACAAATGGAGTAAAACGCTGCATGTGAATCAGTTACATTTTCATTGACGCATAACTCTCTTGGAACTTGTCATTTTGAGATCGTCCTTTCCAAGCGAACTGACATCGAAGTAACAGCTCAAAGCAAGCAAATTGTAGAGCCTCGAGGCACATTAATTAGGTTTGCATTTTCAACATTCGCAAGAATCATTAACCTGGGAAAACAACTTGGAGAACTTTTGTTGGATGCAGAGATTTAATTTCTGGTTTATCTAAGCTTAAGTTTGGCCTCTACCACTTACTCGAATAGTTCAATGGCCAAATCGGGGGAAAAATCAGTGTCACACCAGTTCCTTCTTAATACTGTGTTGAAACTAGTTTAATCATCAAAGAATAACAAAACAAAAAAAGCTATGCTCTTTGGTAAATAGATATTTCAGATTATCAAAAAGAAGAAGGATCTCATGGAAAGATGACTACAAGAACGCAACGGAATATTTTGTAGCAGTTCAAGAAATGAGTCGAGTCATCATACAAAGCATCCAAGTAGTGAACTTATTTTTGTTTTGTTTTGTTTTTAATTAAACGTTATTAGCACTCAGCCATTCCCAGATAAGGTACTTTTGCTTAACGAGGAATTATTTCGTAACTATTTTACATCATATGAATTATTTACACATGTGAGATTTAAATCAGGGTAGTTATTTTGACAAAAAACGCGACTTGCACCACAATATCTGATTAGAAAATAAGGTCAATCAACCACGACCAGCTCTTATGATATCTTTTCACGTCATCTCAGTCCCGATAATAAAATGGCGACAGTTTATATTTTGTTTTAGACTTGCGTGCTTAACCTAACTGAGCGCAGATGGAACATGAACTGCATATATAAATAATGCAACGCCTGTGAATACCTTTGTTCACGTGGGAATAGCGTGGTGAGGGACTTACAATTGCTAACCCCATCGACAAAGAAAGTAATTGCCGAGTGAGGGAATTACTCACTTAGGCACAAGTGTTTTGAAAGTGTTTTCGCAATGTATTCACAAAACTCGATTAAAGTCTGCTTGGTAAAAGCACGTAGGACGATTTTCCATCATTCTCTCATGTTCAGCGTTTTAATTGTGAACAGTTGCAAAACTACTGCACAAAAGCACAGATATTCATTATCTATGAATCATGTTCTAATATTTTTTTCCTACCCTGTCACTAACTTACACGTATTTTCATGAGGTCAGAATTCTGAGTTTCGTGATTTATTATTATTTGTCTATTATTTATTCATTTATTATTTATCATTTATTATATTTATTTTTATCACCGTGGTAAACTGGCAGAAAAAAAACTTTGGAAATATTAAAAACCCACAACAACATAAAACAAAGACATCAGAATAAACAAAAGTCTATGACAAAACCAATTTTCTCGGTAGTCCATGTACAAGAAGTTTCAAAAGATAAGTGGCTGGAACTAGGAACTATTTATCAAGTAGCAGCTGTATGTTTCTTTTAAGAACCAAGCTTGATCCCACGTCATGCTTTACTTTGGCTATGACGCCTAATCAGCGTTTATCGAACTCAATGGACCACTTTCATAAATGACTGCCGTATAAATATTCGTTTGTTTAAAATTAAATTAGCCCTACTGGCCTCGCTTGAGATAATGTATTCTTTTGAATTTTGTACTGGAGAACGAGGCCAGTAGGGCTAATTTAAATTTAGACAAAGAATATTGATCTGGCAGCCATTTATGAAAGTGGCCTATGAAAGCGGCCTCAGTCTTCAAGATGCGTCTTCAGTACCTAGTTTCTCTCTCGCTGACTTTTTTTAGCTGATTCGGCCTCAGAATATCCAACATTTTGAAAGTTAATTCCCCTCAAATTTATTGGATCAGTGATTCTTCGAATTCCACTAAGTGATTCTGAAAATTGCATCGACACACCCCGCTCTCTAGATTCCCACCGCTTCGAAACCTTCTGTGTTTGAATAACAAAAGCTACACTTAATTTTGTGGATGGGTCCCTACGGAAGAAGGTCAATACTTAGAAATGAGGATGCTTTACCGTCATTCAGTTTTATCCAATAGCAATTTTGGTTTTGAAAACGACGGATCGACTTGACATATTTCATCGTTTAGAGCTCTCATAAGTTACTTTTTGCAACATAAGTCTGATAACATATGAACATTTCTTTCTGTAGAAAAAGATCGCTGAGAAGGTATACATTGCACTGGAACATTCTGTGCCTTCATTATATCGTAGAAACATGTACTCTATGCTTAACATGCACTCTATGCTTGACATGCACTCTATGCTTGACATGCACTCTATGCTTGACATGCACTCTATACTTGACATGCACTCTATGCTTGACATGCACTCTCTGCTTGACATGCACTCTATGCTTGACATGCACTCTATGCTTGACATGCACTCTATGCTTGACATGCACTCTATGCTTGACATGCACTCTATGCTTGACATGCACTCTATGCTTGACATGCACTCTATGCTTGACATGCACTCTATGCTTGACATGCACTCTATGCTTGACATGCACTCTATGCTTGACATGCACTCTATGCTTGACATGCACTCTATGCTTGACATGCACTCTATGCTTGACATGCACTCTATGCTTGACATGCACTCTATGCTTGACATGCACTCTATGCTTGACATGCACTCTATGCTTGACATGCACTCTATGCTTGACATGCACTCTATGCTTGACATGCACTCTATGCTTGACATGCACTCTATGCTTGACATGCACTCTATGC